TACACAGAAAGAACAAATGACACAAATCTACAGATTTTTTTCCCAATGAACACACTGTAAAACATTTTTGATAATTGTTTTATAGTTCAGGTTTTACATGGTTAAGGAATTTGTAATAAGTTTTCCTAAATTCAAACAACAGTTGTGTAAAGAATAGGAAAGTAACTGAAGATGGAGCTAAATGCGACTGACGGTTCCAAAGAAGGTGAACTAGGAGCCTGATTTAGACAAATGTGACACAGATTCACTATCAGTGAATTCATTTATCCTGTTGCACGTGGATTTTTGAAACACAGCAACATACTTATAGAAACAGAAAACGTACAGTCATCATAAATAAGTCAGTAACTTTATTTAACTACTTCCATACATGCAGAGGTCACGGTTTAGCGAACCGCGGTCCAGAGCCAACCTGATAGAAAACATTTATAGATTTCTGCATGTTGTCTGACGACAGTCTCTAACTGCCTTGCGCCTCTTCTCCTGTTAATACGGTAAAGCCTTCCAGCGCACCCGTGACCAGGCTGCGCGTGATCCCAATTATCCAACGAGCTGCTGTCAGTCTGGGTTGCTGCTGCAGGCAAACCTGTGGTATATGGAGGACTAATCCTGCCATCATTAAAAATAAATACAGAAATAAATAAATGCTCCAAAAATAAATAAGCATACAATTAATTCCCCCCAAAATACAATAAACAAATAAATGTAGGTAGAAATTTAATTATACAATGAGACATAAATATGTATCTCTTTTTATTAGCTTCGTTTATTTGCCTTTTTATTAATTACCTTATTTATTTATTGTCCGTAATATTCTTTAACTTTATTTATTTATTTCTTATTTCTTTAAGTATTTATTTATGTGCATGTTATAATATTTTTGTCTGGTTTATTCTTCCTTTGTGTTGTTTTAGCCTGTTTATTTCTGCCTGTATTTTCATTTCTGTCTGCATTTCAGCCTCATTATGCAAATGAGGAGGGGCGGGTCTTAAGGGCAGAGGCCGGCGATGGGAAAGAAGGAGAAGACCATGAGAAAAAGAGAGCAGAGAAAGTGTGGACTGCTGGAAGAACTGCGGT